GTGTCCAAGTGAGTGCCGGGGCCGCGTCCCTGCCCACGCGGTGCATGGGGAAGTCCTGTGACGTCGCTGGTGCCCCCTGGCAGCCAGTGAAGCCCGGTGCTCTGTCCCCTGGCCAGGTCCATCTCACAGAGCTCCTCCATCCTGCCCGAAGAGGGTGACGAGAAGTCCTACAGCGAGTCGGAGGTCCGGATTGTCCCAAGGAAGTCGCCCGCTCGGCACGAGGAGGTGAGCGGCCGGCGGCTCCAGCCTGGGCCACGTCGCTAACCCTGTTTGCACCCCCGGAGGAGGTGTTTGCCCTCCTGGAGCTGGTGAGGGCGCAGGAGGTGGTTTGGGGAAGGTTTCCTCAGCCCTGTAGTCTCCGTGCGGGTTTGTTGGCTTTTCCCCTCTGGGACATCCTCACCTGAGGGAAGGGCAGGGGGAGATGGAGCCACCACGGCCGCCCAGCTGGAGGTTGCAGTCCCCAGGGTGTTTACCTTCCTCTGTCCCCACTAACATACCCCATCCCAACGGCCTTGCGACGTCTCCTCTCTCACCCCAGGAATGTGGCGTGACGCCAGAGAGCGAGAACCTCACCCTGTCCTCGTCGGGAGCCATTGACCAGTCCTCATGCACCGGCACCCCACTCTCCTCCACCATCTCATCCCCAGAAGGTACAACTGGTGCCTGTGGCCATTTGGGACCAGCCCCGGGGGCTCCACGGGCGCCGTGTCCCCCTGGCTCAGCCTCTGCTCTGCCCCCAGACCCAGTGAGCAGCAGTCTGGCCCAGTCCGTCATGTCCATGGCCTCCTCGCAGAGCCAGCACTCGCAGATCAGCACTGACACCATCTCCTCCATGTCGGGCTCCTACATTGCTCCTGGCACAGAGGAGGAGGGTGACATGCTCCCGTCGCCAGCGGCGGCCAGCGCCGTGACCTCCGAAGGAGAGGTAGGGCTGGCACGGCCACCATCACCCTGTCCGGAACACAGGGCAGGCAAGGACGTTTGCAACACTGAGTGCGCCCATGGCCAAAAGACAAAGATCCCTCTCCAAATCTGCCAGCAACTAATTTATTTTTGCTTCTTTTGTCCTACTTCTTTTCCACCTTCCTCCTACAGTCGACTCCTGTGGAATCCCCGGATCTCAACTTCGTCAGCATCTCTGCCGAGGAGCGTGATGCCGAGGTAAGAGCCAGCACCAAGGGCTGCCCCACGTCCCTGGCACACTGCCCCATGCCGGGATGCTTCTCAAAGGGAGATAGGGCTGTTCAGTGCGGCTCCAGCCATGCTGCGTGCCACCTGGCTTTCCTGGACTGGATATGGGCCCTCTGGGATCAGTGACAGGGCTGGGCCACCTTGGCTCTCGGAGCCGCTCACGCTTGCTGCTTCTCGCCACAGGGCAACGACGTGCTGGAGGACGAGGACACCTCTCCCACACAGGAAGACGGTAAAAGGTCCCGGAGTGTCATCCCCTCCTCTGCAGCTCGGTGCCACCAGCGGGCAGACGCGTGGTTAGACCGTCCCCTCCGAAACCGCAGGGAGCCAGCACAGGCGTTGGGTCGTCCCCAGCTCCCTGGGGTCCTCGTGACCATCTCCGGGCAGCGCTGGCTATGTCAGGAGCACTTGGGATCCGCGAAAGCATCTGCTACACGAAGGCTCGCAGGGTTGGGGCAGAACCAGCTGGCCACGATCTCTCCATGCGTCTTTGAAGACCTTTTTCTTAAATACTCCCAATCTGTGTTGGTTTCTTTAGGGAAGGGTGGCAAGATCAGTCCCTCTAGGCTGTTCTGTTAATTATTTTTCCCCATTCTCCACATGGTTTAACAAGTCACTCTGGGCACTGTGAGAACTCCCAGTCAACCCTGCACCATCAGCCACCTCCCAGCTTGGAGCAGGTCGGGAGGCTCCTTGCGTGCCTCCTTCTGTGCCTGCACATATGTGGCAAAAGTAGATTTGAACTTGCCCCTGACCCTTCAGGCAAGCTGAAGAGCAAGAGCCCGGCCCTGCACCCTGCCCTGCGTTGTGTTGTCGTGGGCAGGAATAGTCTCTGCCCTGGGGTTAGGTTCTTGCTCAGGGTGAGATGGAAATACGGGAAGTTGGGTGCATAGCGGGGTCATTAATGGCACTCGGTGACATCCCCGAGGGCCCCGGCCCCCCTTCCTCAGTAGGAGCTGTACACGAACTGTTGCACTCCTGCTGTGCTAGGCCCCAGCAAGCCAACCTGTCGTGGAAGGTTTCCAGCACCCGGGAGCAGGATGGTCGCTTCTTGGGAAGAGATCCTGGGGCCGAGTACCTCTCCTGAAATTTAGTCTCTCACATCAGAGGTGCTTAGAAAAACCTGGCTGCAAACCTACTGGCTCAGGTCATGCCAAGGAGCAGATCGCACTTTTCCTTCCTCAACTCCAGCCCTGTGCAAGGCTTGGCTATGGCTTCTTGGTACCCACCTTGGGCTGCTACCACCACTGGCATCGCCATGGCTGCCGTGTCCCCCCAGTGCCACCAGGGCCTGGATGGAGCCGGGGTGGCTGCAGCCCCTCCAGGGGCTCTGCCTCAGGGAAGGGTCAGCTGGACACACGGTGGGAGCTGGGTGAGCGTCTGGGCTCTGTGCTTCCCCGCATCCACGTACCACCCCGTGTGGATGTGTCCGATCTGGACACGGGAAGGTGAAACGCTGGGAAGGGTCCTGTTGTGGGCCACTTCCGTAGCTTCCCCAGCAGCTCTCGGCTGCCTCTTCCCTGCTCGACGGCCACTTGCCGGCTCTTTCTTGCCACCTCCAGCAAGGACAGGAGCAGCTGGGACTGTGTCCATGCGCGACCTTGGTGCCCACTTGTCAACTTCTCAATTCCCCCCTTCCCTAGACACCTCATTTCCATCTCTTTAATGTGTTTTGGAAGTGGGGAGGAGGGAGGAGAAGACCCAGGAGCTGCCCCGTGCCCCCACCTTCTGCACGACCGGGCCGCGCCGCGGCTCTAACCGCCTTCGCTCCCTTTCAGGCCCGAGGACAGGCGCTTTCCTCGGTCTGCGGTGTGACAATAACAATGATGTGGCCATCGCGCACGTGAAAGCGCTGGACAATAAACTGTGCTCTGAGGCCTGCTTACCTGGTGAGTGGCCACCTGCCGAACATGAACTCGGGCTGGGGGGTCGTTTTTGCTCTTCCTTATGTCGCCCCCTGCCCTCCCAATCTTCCTCCCCTTTCTCTCCCACTGTCATCCATCCTCATCTCCATCCCACCATCCAGCCCGCCGTGGGGCTGCCCACCGGGCACAGAGCTACCTGGCAGCAGGAGGCCAAGATGACCCAAGCCAGTGTGTCTCCAATGGGTTCCTGATGGGTTCCCGATGCCCATTGGGTTTTTGCTTTGTTGAGAGTGAAGTGCTTGAGCTCTAGCCCAAGGATCCATTCCATCCCTCTCCTCCATTTCTTCACACTTTTTATTCCTCTTTTCCATCTCCGTTTCCTCCCTCCCCATCCCTCTCTCCCCTATCCTCCCCCCGGGCTCCTCTGTCCATGTGGAAGTTCATGTTCGCTCTGTGCCAACACGGTTCCTCGGCCCCCGCTTGCATCCTGTCCCTGTTCTGCTGCGGGGTGACAAATGTATCGGCGAGGCCTGGCCACGGGACCCTCGTGCCCATACATCTGTACGAGCAGCTCTGCCCTGCAGCTCTGCCTGGCCTCCCTCCTTGATGCAAAAGCTGGGGCAGGTACCAGCTCTGCAAGTGCCACTGGTGCCCGAGAGCCCAGCTCTGGGGACGGAGGGAAGGTCCTTTCTCGCCATTCGGTTCCTCTGGGAAAGCTTTCCCTCCTGCTGCTCCTCATGCTTCCCGGCTAGCCTGTTCCTTGTGGCTTCTGCTCCGGAGAAATGCAACGTGGAGCAGGAAACTGCAGCCTCTGCCCAGACACCTCATCCCACTGCTCGACGCTGGCAGCTGAGATCAAAGCCCTGGGCGCTGAGAATGGGGTGCCCAGCATGGGAGCACCCTGGTGGCACTGGGAGCCTTTCAGTTCCAAGCCAACGAGGCAGGGACCAGGAAAAGGCCGCTTTGCTCCCAAAATGCCCCAGCCATCCTGGTGCTGGGATGCAGCTCTGGGACAGAGCGAGCAGGGAATTAGCTCCTGGGATGCAGGACGTCCTTCTGCCCTTGGCAAGTGCATCCCCAGGCCTGCCTTCCTGCAGAGGCAGCGGGAAAAGCTTCGGCCCGGCTCGCTGCAGGCAGCGCGGTGGGAAGTGGTGCTTGGGGAACCTCCTGGCTGCAAACGGGGTTTTGCAGCATTGCTTTGGCGAGGCAGCTCCTTCCTCACCCTGCGCCAGCTGCCTTCTTACTGCCCTCTCCCCAGGCGCGCTTAGTCCAGCCGCATCGGCCCTTTGCACCTTGCTGGTTTTGCAGGGGACGTGATTGGAGGGACAACTCGGTGCCCATGGCAGTGCTGCTGGAGCTTGAGCTCTGCAGCGCGGGCTGGTCTCCATGCACTGCCAGTGGTGCTCATCCAGAGGTCTCCCGGGGACAGGCACAGGCAGCTCCCTGCTCCTTTGGGCCATCCGAGCTCGCTGCCAGCATCACAGTTTGGGCAAACGTGGAAATTTTCCACGGCAAATCCTGGCTGGTGTTTCCCTGTGCTCAGTTCATCCATTCTTGTAGATTCAATTGTGCCTATATCCACGGAATGGGCAAGAATCATGGGGATTTTTACTTTGGGAACATGTTTTATTTTAATGAAAGCTTAAAAACAAATCCCTTTGCCCCAGCCCCATTGCCAGTAGGTTGTTTTGACGAGCTCAGCGAGCCCCTGCGTTTCGCTGAGATGCTCTTGGGGAGCTGGTCCTGTGCTCAGGACAGGTCTGAGCCTGGAGCAGAGGTGGCTTCCCACAGCTTTGTGCCGAGGGCTGACACCACATTCCCTGTGACCCTTCCAATGACGCACGGGCTCGTCTAAATCCCTGCGCAGGGACACCAGGGCACCTCACACACTGCCGAGCGCTCAGGGGGATTTTGGCCCTTGTCTGCGTGTGGTCCTGGTTAATTCTCCATCCCCGCCGGGATCTGCAGCCTTCACTCACCTCGCTCCTCAAGCGGGTTGACAAGAAAAGCCAGCCAAAATGGGAGCTGTCACCTTCCATAAATCAGCAGCCACGGCTTATTATTATTTGATTATTGCTTCCCCTTTGAAACTCCCCCTGGGTCGACCCGGCATGGCCAACGTGGTGCCATCGTGGTGTCCTTGCAGGGCCCTGCTGGCTTGGCGACATTGCAGCGTTAGTTTTGCTGGGTGGGGGAGCCACCCTGGGCTACAGGTGCCCCCGTGTTGGGGTGGCAGAAAGCAGGACTCCCCCCAGCTCAGCCCATCACCCTGACCCGGGTGGGAAGCAGCCTTTGAACCAGGATGGGAGGGGATGGAGAGGCATCGAGTGCCCAATGTGGCATCGGGTGCTCTTGCACTGAGGTCTTCCTTGAGCTAATCCACAGAGGGTTGCAAAGGGGCCAGCGGTGCAGGACGCGGCCGGGCGGCAAGGGCCGTTCCCGTGTGACACCTCCCTGGTGCCGTGTCACCCGGCAGCGTCCCTGGGGCCGTGGCGGTGGCGTCTCCTTGCCGGGCTGACCCTTGCCTTCTGCTCTTTCCCCGCATGCAGCCGCCGGGTCGGACTCCTGCCCCATCGACATTGACGACTAGGTAGGAGCCCTGCGTGCACCTCGTGTCCTTGCGCAGGAGGCAGCTCGGTCCCTGCTGCCATCCCCGCATGGGCCAGGCTCCGTGGGGGTGTGGGACATAGGGGTCTGCCCTCTTGTCACTGGGATCAAGACTCAGTGGCCAGTTCTTACTGCCCAGCTGGCCATCCCCATATGCCATCCTTTATGGGCCCATCTTCAGCCCATCTGCACGTCCTCGTGGAGGGCAGAGGCAGAGCCTTCGAATTACCCTTGCTCTTCCCTTTGGTCCTGCGGAGATCCCAAGCAAATGAGCTTGGAACCGAGGTTTAATGAGCTTTCCCCATTCCCGCACCCAGCCCGGAAAAGTCCGTCTGGAAACGCAGCTGCTGGAGCCGTCAGCACGAGCTCTTCCCTCCGCGCTGTGGGAGCGACCGGCAGCGTCGGGAGGTGGAGCCCTCTCCTTCCCCGCGCCAGCAGCCGGCGGAGCTGCCAGCAGGGCTTTGCAATCCCCCTTACGTCCCTGCAGAGGTTGCGTTGCCGTGGGGCATAGGGCCATTTGGGTGCCCTGGCTGCACCGAGGACCTGCACTGCTCTTTGGGGACCCTCTGCCTCCACCGAGGGGGAGCCCCGGCCTTTGGATCCTTCCCCTGGTGGAGCCACGATGCTCCCCGCTCGGGCACTGCACGAAAGGGCACCAGGTTGCATTTCCAGGGCATTTTGTCTCTCTTAAAGTCCCAGATCATCCCCAGCTAGTGATGGGGGCAGCTTCGCCACCCGCCTGCATGTCTCCCGCGTGTCCCCTCACCCACCCCTTCTCTCCGCCAGGCCTCGAGGCAGCTGCCACCAGGGCCAGGCAGTGGCACCAGCAGCGGCGCCAGCAGCGCGGCGGGGCCGCGGCGGCCCCGGTGCCCTCCTCCACCGCAGCCATAGCGATTCTTCACAACCCGGTAACCTCACGCTCTGCCCCGGGCCCGGCGCCATGGGGAGCCCCATCCACACCTTGCCCCACGCCGACGAGGTGACACCGGAGCCCGCCGTGTCCCTGTGCTCCTCTTGCCGCGCCGGCGAGGTGACCCCGGAGCCCGCCGTGTCCCTGTGCTCCTCTTGCCGCACGTGGACACTGGCAGAGGGACGCGCGGGGACTGTCCCGCCGCGCTCTGCTGGCGTAGGACGACGTTCCCGCCTCGGCTCTGCTCCCACCGCCCCGTCCCCCGGGCCAGGGCGCCTCCAACGTCACTGTCTTCCTCCGCACGGCGCTCGGGCCGGGCCCTCTCTCTGGAACAAGTGCCAAAGCCCCCGCCCGCGGCTCTGGCCCTGCTCTCCAGAGCGCTTTGTAGCAGGGGGGAAGGGGCTGCGGGCGCTGCCCCGCTCCCATCTCTCCATCCCCTCATTCCCTCTGTTCTCCTCCCAGCGTTTGCTCAGCGGGACACGGATGAGGATGGGGTGGCTTTGGATTGCTGGGATTTGGGGGGATCCCATGGAGGGTTCGGGCCTCAATGGCAGTGGGGCATCGACTCCTGTGCAGCCCCCACAAAGCAGCTGGGTCCCTTTATGGCCCCTTTGGGAAGCACGAGGCTCCGGATCCCCGTTTAGCTCCTGCTGGAGGTAATGAGGAGGCTGAGCCCCCTCTCTTTCCTGCCCCCTGGGTTTCTCAGTGGCACCAGAGTGATCCAAAGCCACCAGCTGCCTCCTCCCAGCGTCGTGACCGGCATCACACACTGCGCTCCTTTCCCCGCTGGCCTCCTCTCCACACCTCGGCGCTTGGGAATGTGAGCCAGCTCTCCTGCAGGCTTTGCACTTCCCAAATTTCCTGAGCTCCTGCGCAGGAGCCCAAGATTAGGGGCAGAAGGAAGCTGAAGCCTCTTGTGAGCTGGGACCTGCTGAGGGGAGAGAGGAGCAGGAGGAACATGGGGACACACTCTGGAGCGAGGGCACGGCCACAGCCAGCCCCAGGCTCCCAGGTTCAGCTTTCATGACCTGCTGGAGCCACTGGCACCTGTGGGGACCCAGGGAGACCTTGGGCTTCCCAGCTCTCTGCTGCGGTTTCCAGCAATCCAGCAGCAGGAAGGCTGTTCCGCCTGGCAATGTCCCGTCCTCCTTGTGGGGATGCCGGCAGCTCCCTGCGGACAGGGAGCTCTCCCAGGCTGCCCGGAGCTGCCCAGAGGGAAGGAGCTGGCATGGACGGAGCCGGAGAAGAGGCAGCGGCCGCTTCCTCGCCCCGGGGACGCACCCGGCAGAGCTGCGGGGAAGGGAACCGGCTGCTGCCTCCAGCTTCGCTTTGAGCATGTTTGGGGTTTTAAGAGTATGTTTAATAAAGGGTATCCTATGTCGGCTCCGTGTCTGGAGTAGTTTTTTGGGGGATAAAGTGGGGGTGCAGCCGGACAGGCACCTCCCCACATGCAGCCCCCCGTCCCCAAGGAGCCAGGGTGGGGGACAACACAAGTGCTTCCTTTACCAAACCATTTATTTATACCACCAAATATTTTGGGGAGCGGCGTCGAGGCTTGGGGCCCCACAGGAGCCCCCGCACCCCTCAACTGTCACGTGATGTGGCAGTTATTAAATAAATATAGAAAAAAAAACATATATTAAAAACAGGGAAAAGAA